TTGCATATATTGTTGGTCCTTCCTATTCTTCGATTTTTAAAAACATATACCATATACCAAAGATGTGCCGCGTAACTGGGGTGTGGTTGTGTGGACAAATTAAAGCGATTTGAAGGCAAACAATCCATGCCAGATATTTTAAATGAAACTTTCGGGAAAGTTTAATCAAGTTACAAAAAAGAAATTATTATGTTTAATAAAGAAATGATTACATTTTGGTGACGAAGTAGGGTGTGGATATGAGGACCAATCAAAGGAAAACGTTCCAGACCAGATATTTCAAAAATTGATAAACTATTTAGAATGAATCTTTCGGGAATGTTTAAGCAAGTTAAAAAGAAGAAATTATCTTGTTTTGGTGACGATCCCGTTTAGGGTGTAAATGTGAGGGTCATATCAATTTCTAAGGTCCCAGACCTACATTTCTCAAAAACATATTAAAGGATCTAAATGAAACTTTCTATAATAGTTTGTCATGCTTTAGTAAAGAAATGATTAAATTTTGGCGACGAATTTAGAGAAAACGTCACTGACCAGATATTTCAAAACTAAGCTGAATGAAACTCTCTGACAAGTTTAACAAAGTTACATGGAAAAAAATATTATGTTTTAGTGACGATCAAGTTTAGTGTGTAAAGCAGGGGACTCACTGAGCGCGACGGCGACGCGACGACGCGGAACCAACGGATCGCTTTTTTCATGGGGATCTGTTCAGACTGCCACTGACAATCCGCAGATGGCGTTACGTTGTTTATTGCTCTCCGGAAGCAGAGGTGGATCCGTCGTACGACGCAGTGAGTGCCCGGCTTAAGTGTAAGGGTCAATTTGTTTATAATTTCAGAGACCTAATTATCTTAAAACCATGTCAATGGAACTAAATGATACTTTCTATAATAGTTTATTATGGTCCAATAATGAAATGATTACATTTTGGTGACGATCAAAAGAAGGGTGTGGATATGAAGTCCATGCAAAGGAAAAAAAAAACCCAGATCAGATATTTTAAAACTAAAACTGATCGGAATGAAACTTTCGGGAATTTTTAACAAAATTACAAGAAATAAAATATTTTGGTGTTTCGCTGTGAACTTGAGGGCGTAGGGTGTGGACATGATGACCATTTAAAGGGAAACTTCCTAGACCAGATATACCAAAAACTGATTACAGTAACCGATCTAAATGAAACTTTCTTGAAAGTTTGTGTGAATTTAAGGGTCATTTAATATTTTAACGTCCCAGACCTAAATATCTTCAAAACCAATCAATGGATCTAAAGGAAATAGTTTGTCATGTTCCAATAAAGAAATGATTACATTTTTGTGACGATCCGGAGTATTAAATGAAAACGTCCCAGACTGATCTGAATGCAAAAAGTTACAAGGAAGAAATTATTAAAATGTTGGTGACAATCCGGATTCGGGTATGAATTTGAGGGCCAAGTAAGTGCTAACGTCCCAGACCTAAAAATCTCAAAAAAGGGTTTTCAATGAATCTAAATGAAACTTTTCTAAATAGTTTTTGTCATGGTCTATTAAAGTAATGATTACATTTGGTGACGATCCGGTGTAGGGTGTGGACATGATGACCATTTAAAAGGAAACGTCATAGCTGATTAACTAAACTAAATAAAACTTTCTTGAAAGTTTAACCAAGTTAGTTAAAAGGAAGAAAATTATTTAACTTCGGTGACGATCCATCTTTAGTTGTGAGTTGAAAGTCAATTTAAGTACTAACGTCTCAGATATAAATGTCTCAAAAATTGACCAATGGACCAAAATAAAACTTAAAATAGTTTATCATGGTGCAATAAATGATTAAATTTTGGTGATGATCCAGAGTGGGGTGTGGACATGTGGGCCATTTAACGCTAGACGTCCTATACCAGATATCCCAAAAACTGATAAACTGATCTGATTGAAACTTTCTGGAAATTTTACAAGGAAGAAGTTATTAAAATTTAGTGACGATCCAGACTCGGCTGTAAATTCCCAGGTCATTTAAATTGCTAAGGTCCCAGATCTAAATATCTCTAAAAATTATAAATAGATCTAAATTTAATAGTTTTTCATGGTCCAATAAATACATGATTTAATGTTGGCGACGTTTCGGAGTAGGGTGTGGATATAATGACCATTTGTAGAATTTTATTTGACAGTTGATTAAACTATATAAACGCAATTTGCGTTTTCAAAGGAGTTTAAACCAGCTGCAGCAAATTTACCGCATTATGCATAAACAATTTTCGTTGTCAATCACTGAAGGCTATGTTTCCCTGTAATCGTTTTACTTGATTCTTTTCATCGACTTTTGGCGTTAGCAGAAATAGCCGTTGTTTTTGTTCTAATTTCTTTTTCTTCTATCCCGTTTCCTATGTTTTTACACAAAGCACTTTGGCCACTTTTTGTGCTTAAATTCTCCAAATATTGTCCAAGCAATGACAATTATCAACGAAATATGAATACGAAATCATACATGTTAGAATGTGATTGAAGTTTAACATTAAAATGCGTTTTCTATAAAAAATATAAAAAAAAAACAAAAAAAAAAAACAAAACATGAGAACATGAAAGGGATTGAAGTTACTAATTTTGGAACAAACCATGATTGTTTATAAATGTTTTTGAACGATTGGTTTTGACGTACGGTGTGCTTGGCTTCATTTGATATTAATTTATTTTAGAGCTGTTTTTTCCCCCTTTTTTTTTCTTGACTTCTGGAAATATGTAGTGTCAATAGAATAAATATTTGTGCATGGAAGCTGGTCTAGTATTTTTAGATAGTGGGTGTATATACAGGGTAGACTGTTCGATGGGATGGGTTTTTAGTGTTCTCATGGCTGTTTCTCCGGATGGATGATTTGCAATTTGGACATTCTCGTTCACGTTTTGCAGCCTACTCAACACTCATTTTCAATTTGGATGTTTCAATATAACGTTGCGAAACTCAGACTCTTTCCATTTTAGTAGGACATATGGTTTTGCATATAATAATGGACATTTTTTATTTCATTGGCAACATCGAATATTCGACTTTTTTATTGTCGATAAGTCAATAAAGATACAGATACTTTATTGTCAGTGTAAATAGAAATATATACAATGGAATTTACATTGGTGAACAGCATATAAATGACGACAACATTACATGTTAATCAGCTTAACTACGTGTAAGCGCAAGTAAGATTTTGTAACGTTGGCCAGACGGCATTTGACAATTAAGTGGGTTACTGGGGTGAGATGGATCGTTTATAATGGATTGTACCTTCTTAAAAAAAGGCTTCGTTATAAAGATTGCAGGATGACAATGAATGGCCTACTTGAAGCACGTTTAACAATTCTGTTCAGGAGCTTCTTTTCCTCTTTACTTCCACTTTCATACCAAAGTAGGAAAAATATCAGGGAACTCTCTATGACCGACTTACAAAGGGTGAACGTTTTGAGAAGAATAATTGACAAGTGGTTTCAGTCTCTGTAAAAAGAAACACGCCCATCGATCACGTGAGAAGAATATGGTAAGTTAGATTTTTCCGATTAATTACCCTTATAAATATACATATAGACCTAGAGTATTATATATATATATATATATAT